GCTCTGGTGGAGTTCCAGAGTTGACGGGGAGCGCGTTTGGGGATCGATTTATCGCGTCTAGAGACGCGATAAAATGATCCCCGATAGATGGATCGCTACCCGACGATCGGGCAGGCAGTGAAGACATACCCTAAAGTTCCCCCTACATCCCTTGCTGACCAATAGGAAGGTACAGCCGCAGCTTTGCCTACCCCGCTAATTTTGAGTTGCCATTTCCCCAAAGAGGAGCCGTCCCCTTGCCCTTTTGAATGCAAGGAATGCATGATTATATGCATTTCAGGACAGGGAAGGGAGGATTTATTTTTAAAAAGTGCAAAGACAGGATTGTAACATTCCCTTTACCTTTTATATTAATTGTTCTTCCAGTATCTGGGGGCAGGGGGCTTGTTAATGTTACTTCAGGAAATATTTCACCTTTTGTTATTAATATATTAAAGAAAAATGGATACAGATGACTAAATTTTCATAACTGGCAGGGATTCCATCCATTTGTCTAGAGGAAAGAAATACATTGTGGTGCCATATGGAGATGTTTCAGAAGCAACTTATTTGAATATTTTTCATTAGAAAGTAAGATAAGTCATTCCATTTTATTTTTACTTCCAAACAACTCCTCTGAAATTACTCCAATTTTTTCTTCCTTTATTTCCATTTCCTCTAGCCAGGAAGGCCCTTTGTCACATCAGTCCTCCCTCCAGAAAGGGAAACTTTGCCTAAGCCAATTTGGGCAGAGTGGGTTTTCTGAGAGAAAAATAAGATTCTCCCTCCATTATTGGGGAGGTAAGCACCTCTGCAACACATCCAGCCCCTGCTGGTACATGCAGTGAAGGACCAAGCTTAGAATCTGAATTTGGATTCTTATGTGATAGCGCATCGAGATGCCACTACGCCATTGAACTCCTATTAAGAGTACTTTATAATTACTTTATGTATTTCCACCCTGATGGTATGTGTGTATGCCTTTTTTAGTACTGACTGACGCCTTATTGCCTGCTCTTTCACAATGAAAGCCATGGAGGATCAAGTGGTACAAGAAGAACTAGGGTACCAGGATGATGAGGTATTTATGGATTGTGAAAAAATATGTCTACGTTCTGTCCGAGGGCGTCGCGCAGAATTTTTTGTAGAAGATCAGTGTTTCTTCGGTGCAGGATCATGAAAGAAAATTAGAGGGTTGCAGGGTGGTAAATTTGATTACAATCTAAAGCAAAGAAAATCTTGCTCCCCTGCTCCCTGCACACTCTTATCCTTCAAGATCAAGTGTTCTTTGTCTTGAAACACACACAAGCACAAATAAATTGTGTAGGCTTACTGTTATCAGTACATGTTTTACTCTTAGGCCTTGGCTTAACTTGTGAGTTGCAGCGCTGTAAAGCTGCCCCCAGTGCTGTAACTCACTCCCCATCCACACTGGCAAGGCATTTGCAGCGCTGTATCTCCGTGGTTGCATCGCTGCATGTACTCCATCTCCCCGAGAGGAATAGCGTGTATTGCGCTGCTGCTGCAGCGCTGCGGCACCAGTGTGGCCGCCCAATGCGCTGTGAATGGCCTCCAGAACTATTCGGCAGTATCCCACAATGCCTGTTCTAGCCACTCTGATCATCAGTTCAAACTCTACTGCCCTGGCCTCAGGTAACCAACATGTGACCCACCCTTTACATTCCCCGGGAATTTTAAAAATCCCCTTCCTGTTTGCTCAGCCCGGCATGGCGTGGAGTGCTATCAGCGAATCTTTCCTGGTGACCATGCCTCCACGCACCAAGCGAGCCCCAGCATGGAGCACTGGCGAGTTGCTGGACCTCATCAGTGTTTGGGGGAAGGAAGCTGTACAGTCCCAGCTGCGCTCCAGCCGTAGGAACTACGATATCTTCGGGAAGGTATCAAAGGACATGATGGAAAGGGGCCATGACCGGGACGCCCTGCAGTGCAGGGTTAAAGTGAAGGAGCTGCGAAGTGCCTATCACAAAGCCTGCGATGCAAACAGCCACTTGGGTGCTCCCCCCGCGACCTGCCGATTCTACAAAGAGCTGGATGCGATACTTGGGGTTAACCCCACCTCCACTCCGAGCACCACCATGGACACTTCAGAGCCGGTGGGGAGGAGGGAGGAGGAGGAGGAGGAGGAAAACGGGAGTGAGGGTGGTGGGCCGGATGGAGACACCCCGGAATCCCTGGAGCCATGCAGCCAGGAGCTCTTCTCGAGCCAGGAGGAAGGTAGCCAGTCGCAGCGGCCGGTACTTGGTGGAGGACAAACAGAAGAGCAGGTTCCCGGTAAGCGATTTTTTTTTCCGGGAAGGAATTTTTTCGGTGCGGGCTCTTTGGGAGAGGAGGGTTAGGCATGCATGCTTAGATACGGAATAGTGCATTGATGTGGTTTATTACATCGCAGTAATCGGCCTCGGTAATCTCCTCGAATGTCTCATCCAGAACGTGTGCAATGCGCTTGCACAGGTTTATTGGGAGAGCCACCGTGGTCCTTGTCCCAGCCAGGCTAACGTGTCCGCGCCACTGTGCCGCGAGGGACGGGGGGACCATTGCTGCACACAGGCAAGTTGCATATGGACCAGGGCGGAAGCCGCATTGCAGTAGAAGACCCTCCCTTGCTTCCCAGGTCACCCTCAGCAGCGAGATATCGTCTAGGACAAACTCCTGTGGAAAATGTTGGGACAGTGTTCAGTGTAGGTGCCCCCTGAAGCTGTTGGCTCTCCCCAAGGCACAGGAACCCAGAGGACAGTGCAGCCCTGAAACATCAGTCCCCCTTATTCACCATTTTGAGGCTCCCATGGGATATGCGTGCTCTGTTTCGGCCGGGAAAATTATGCAAATGCGTTGTGCCCCACTGTCACCTCCAACACACTTTCCCCAACTTCCGTGTTCTTCACGCCACCCGCTGCCTCCAACACCAGTATCTGAAAACCATGACCCTTACCCTCTGCACTCAACCCCCATCACCATGCAGTATAGCTATCCTGAAGTGCAGCACTCACTGCACAGCACACCAGACAGGACATACACGAATCTGTGATTGTACCGTTCCCCACTCCACCCCCTTGTTTCTTTTCAATAAATAAATTTTTTTTCTTTTCAATAAATGGATTTTTTGGCTTTGAAAACATTCTTTATTATTGCATAAAGTAAAAGACTCCTTAGCCCAGGAAATAAACAGGCACTGCAAGTCTGCTTGTCTGCTTAGCAAACGCTGATTCCTAAAGATTGGAACTACTGCACTTCACTCCCATACAGGGCACCAGATATCACTGCTGGTTTTCAGCCTCAAATTGCTCCCTCAAGGCATCCCTAATCCTTGCAGCCCTGCGCTGGGCCCCTGTAATAGCCTTGCTCTCTGGCTGTGCAAATTCAGCCTCCAGGTGTTGAACCTCGGAGGTCCATGCCTGAGTGAAGCTTTCACCCTTCCCTTCACAAATATTATGGAGGGCACAGCACGCAGATATAACCGTGGGGCTGCTGTTTTTGGCCAAGTCCAGCTTCCCATACAGAGATCACCAGCGGCCCTTTAAACGGCCAAAGGCACACTCCACAGTCATTTGGCACCGGCTCAGCCTGTAGTTGAACCGTTCCTTGCTGCTGCCAAGGCTCCCTGTGTAGGGTTTCATGAGCCATGGCATTAACGGGTAAGCGGGATCTCCAAGGATCACAATGGCAATTTCAACTTCCCCTACCGTGATCTTCCGCTCTGGGAAAAAAGTCCCGGCCTGCATCTTCCTGAACAGCCAAGTGTTCCGAAGGATGCGTGCGTCATGCACCTTTCCGGGTCAGCCTGTGTTAATGTCAATGAAACGCCCACGGTGATCCACAAGCGCCTGGAGAACCATAGAGAAATACCCCTTCTGGTTAACGTACTCGGATCCTAGGTGGGGTGGTGCCAGAATAGGAATGTGCGTCCCATCTATCGCCCCTCCACAGTTAGGGAACCCCATTTGTGCAAAGCCATCCACTATGTCCTGCACGTTACCCAGAGTCACGGTTCTTCTGAGCAGGATGCAATTAATGGCCCTGCAAACTTGCATCAACACAATTCCAACGGTCGACTTTCCCACTCCAAACTGGTTTGCAACCGACCGGTAGCTGTCTGAAGTTGTCTGCTTCCAGATTACAATAGCCACCCACTTCTCCACTAGCAGGGCAGCTCTCAATCTCGTGTCCTTGCACTGCAGGGTGGGGGCGAGCTCCTCACACAGTCCCATGAAAGTGGCTTTTCTCATCCCGAAAGTTCTGCAGCCACTGCTCGTCATCCCAAACTTCCATGATGATGGGATCCCACCACTCGGTGCTTGTTTCCCGAGCCTAAAAGCGGCGTTCCATGGTGCTGAGCATGTCCGTGAATGCCACAAGCAATTTCGTGTCGTACGTGTTACGCAGCTTGATAGCATTGTACTCCTCACTCTCACTGTCACTTTGGATCTTAAGGAATAGTTCGACAGCCAAACGTGACGTGCTGGCGAGATAAGTCAGCATAAGCCTGAGCAGTTCGGGCTCCATTTCCCGCAGACAGATCGCGCTGCACAGAAACGGTTGAAGGATGGCGCCAAAGGTGGATGGAAACAAAGGGATTTCTGGGATGCAAAGTGATGCATCACGGGGCGTTGGGACAGGACCCAGAATGCCCCGCACCCACACCCGCTTCCCACAACCCACGGTGCCAGAATGGGAAGAGGTGCTCTGTGGGATAGCTGCCCATAATGTGCCACTCCCAATAGCGCTGCAATTGCCGCAAATGTGGCCACGACAGTGCGCTGGGCAGCTGTCAGTGTGGACAGACTGCAGCGCTTTCCCTACTCAGCTGCACGAAGTCAGGTTTAACTCACAGCGC